CATGGCTTCCGTCAACGCTGGTCATGCACTACCAACCTACTTATTGCACGAGGTAGTTGGACGGAAGTGGCCGAGGATGAGGTCGGAGTCGAAGTCAGCTGTCTCGACTTCTCCAAATCTTTTGACCGCCTTGATCACCGTATCCTACTTCAAAGACTACAGAGTTACGGAATCGGTGAACCTATACTTGTATGGATTGGCACCTTCCTTTACCAACGAAAGCTTCAAGTACGTGTTAGAAGATCACTTTCTAACCCAAGTGAGGTGAAAGGTGGTGTCCCACAAGGCTCAGTGCTGGTACCGCGTTTATTCCTGGTGTTTATTAACGATCTAGCAAGGGTCATCTCCGCAAATTTCCTGCTTTTCGCCGATGATGTAAAGATATGGCAGGCGATTGTTAACAAGTCCGATCAGGATCTGCTCCAACATGATTTAGATGGCATTTACGAATGGCCAAAGAGAAACAAGCTTCAATTAAACATGCAACGTGATGCATCTGCGTCACCAGCCGGTGAGCGCTTACAAGATTGGAAACCACATCTTGGAGAACGTTTCTCAGGAGCGTGACCTGGGTGTATTGGTGCAGGAAGATCTCGGGTGTTCAAAACAAGCAGTGAAGGCGACGAGAACCGGCAATCAACACTTCGGCCTTTTTCGCAGAGCCTTCGGTGGCTTTGAACCCTCAATCTTTCCCCAAATGCTTAACGCCTACGTGCGACCTAACGTGAAATATGCTATTCAGGTGTGGCAGCTGTGGCAGAAACAGGATCTCGTTGCTCTCGAGACTCCTCAACAACGTGCAACCAAGAATGTCATTGGCATCTTTCATTTACTCTATCAGCTTAGACTAAAATCCATAAGAATCTACAGCAGTCGATATCGCCTTTTGAGGGAGGATCTCATAATGGTTTACCAGATTCTGAAGAACCCAAACCACATTTGTCGTCCGCTGCTGCAATTGAACCAAAACACTAAACTAAGGGGTCACCCTCTGAAAATGACAATACAGTATAGCCGGCTTGAATGCCGCAAAAATGTCTTTTCTTTCCGCGTGTGCCAGTCTTGGAACGCACCCCCTAATTATGTCGTCTCTGCTTCCAATCTGGCACTATTTAAAAGGCGTGCTGACGATGCAAAGTATCAGTTACATTTCATTTTATAACTGGTTAGCCAGGGGTTACAAAACGCAATCAAACGATGTTTTGCCAAACGCCTAACCAATGGATTTATAGTTTTATATGTTTTATACGCGAACACCTCCGCTAATCCGCATAAGTCTATGGTGAGTCCCCCACAACGCTTTTCCCTTTATCATGCAATTGATTTTCACAATAATTTTCCATCCTACGGGACTTGTTAAGCAACGAATTTTTACTCGTAATAAACCATTTTTCCATTGTTCCATTGCATTTGAATCGGTAGAAATTTTCCATAAGCATTTAGTATTTGATGGTACTACAAATTTAGTAGTTTACTCCATTCACCTTACGGATATTGCTTTTTACCTAAGATACAACGTTGTTCACGTTTCATTTTTCTCCCTACACGACCTCCCTTGCTGTATCACTTAAGAATAATTAGAATCGGTTATCATAAGATATGGCTAGTTATATAGTAGTTAGTCGCTTTATTCTCCCAAAAATGGAACTTGTTCTAAATATTGTCACAACTTACAAAATAAGGAATTCAAGGAACATTGTTGACGGCACTCGCCATGCACGGTGCTTATTTAATACACACTTTCTTCATTCAATTAACTGTTTGACAATTCCTATCCTTGAAGGGAGAGTTACTTTAGCAAAGGTAGTAATGGATTTGATTCCCAGTTTCCGCCCCTTTGATTAAACAAACTTGTTGGCAGGTTTACAGCAATTCAACTTGGCATTAACCTACCGCGTGATCTTTGCATGTCCGCGAGAGAGGAATATAAACCAGGCTTATCAATAAAAAATACAATGAGCTTGGGACGCTTCATTAGCGCACAACAGCCTTGTTGCAGGATTCATTGACTGATGGCAATGAGCCTGCGTTGACGCAGCGTGTCGTGTTGCGAGGTATAATGTACTGCTCCTTCTTTTCCTTCGTGAGAATTATGAATTTACAGAGCTGGGAACTGCCTAGCATGCACATGGAAAGTATGATGGCATGTACGCTGCTAGAGCTATAAACAATAAGCAGTGGGTTGTTAGCGATCCCGTGCCTATAGAAAAGAATAGCTACAGTGATTCTCACACAGTATTCAAGAAAATGTATAGATATCCAAATCATTCTATTAAAGATCATCAGTTGCGCATATTCCGTGGCTCACTTTCCTTTGTACTTGTGTCTTTAATTATAACAATCAGCTCGCAATGCCAGCATCGTTGAAAATTTAACAAAATTATTCAGGCCTTACAGTTATCATAAGATTGAGGCATTCCCATAAGTATTAAGCTGATTAGAAGTAACAGTTTAAAGAGTCCGGATACACGTATACAAGCACATGACAGACTGCAAGAATTAAAATAGCTGCATGTAATGAACGCGCAATACCATTTGCAAGGCTACGTGTGAACATGTGCCGAAAAAGCAAATTGTACCTTATTCCCCTTCAAAGTCATTTGACCAGTAGTTTCCAAAATATGTATTAGAAGCAGTACAGAAACCAAATTAAGGTTGAAGGCGTAAGAGTAGCTGCGTTGATATTTCTTTGAAGCCGCATTTTTGAATTACAGCACATTCTATGGACGAATAGTTTTGCATCCATAACACGCAGGTATTTGAATTTTGATGGAACGGAACAAGCTGTGGTCTGTAAACGCGCTACCTGGCTTAGTGTTTAAATGCCTAATTTAAATGATTTTCAAGACATATTTCAGCCATTAAAATCCATGATATATAACTCTGTTTTCAAATATTTATTATTACCATTACCGCAAATATGTAACTTCATACATTCTGAAGAACACGGCTAAAAAGAACATAGGTCAAGCAGGCGCACTTTCCCGGTTATTGGAGCTACAACAGCATCAGCAGGAAGAATCTATAATTGCAGCAATCTCCCTTGAATCAGAGGTCAACCAGGTCTTGATGGAGAATTTTAGGAAGCTTTCCGTGACGTTCGACATGGTACGTGACGCAGCTGTGCGAGATCCCCTCTTGCGCCAGGTAATCAAATTTCACACTACGCAGTGGCCAAGTGATACTCTATCCGGAGAGCTACAAATTCTCTCTCGGAGAAAGGACGAACTTTCGATCGTAAATGGGTGTTTACTTTTGGCAGAGAGAATTGTCATACCCAAAGAACTTCGCCAAAGAGCCCTTCAGCAATTTCGTCGGGCACATCCTGGAATTAACAGAATGAAAAGCATTGCTCCGTGTTTTGTCTACTGGCCAAACATTGATTCGGAACTCGAGCAACTAGTAAAGTCATGTCCTAGATGCGCGCTTGCTAGTAAGGCACCGAGTACAGCTGGCTTACCTTCCTGGCCGTTAACAACAAAACCGTGGGAACGCAGGCACGCTGATATCTTTGGTCCCCTAAACGGTCAGCAGTACCTAATAGTTGTTGATTCCTATAGTAAATGGCCTGAGGTCTTCTGTATGGAGCGTGCGACAAGTGGTGCAACAATTAACATTTTGAGGAGACTTTTCAGTCAACACGGAATACCAGAAACCTTGGTCACTGACAATGGTTCTCAGTTCACTTCTTCCCATTTTGCCAAATACTGCGCACAGCATGGTATCACGCATCTACGGTCGCCACCGTTTCACCCTCAGTCAAATGAACAAGCAGACCGCTTCCTCGACACGTTTAAGCGATCGCTACTAAAGATGCGGGGGGAAGGAACCACACAGGAAATACTTGATACATTTTTGCTCGTGTACAGATCAACTTCAAATCCCCAAGTACCAAACTAGTTGTCGCCGGCAGAAGCACTAATGGGAAGAAAACTTCGTATAGTGATTTCCCTGCTAACTCCGAGGTGTACTAATGAGCAAGAAAGGACGTTTTGATGTAGCAGTACTACAACGAGCGACACAGAACTCAAGCACGCCGCTTTTACTTTGGACAGCGTGTCTTAGTAAGAGACTATCGCGCGGGAAACCCGCAATGGGTGGTAGGATCGATACGGAGAAATATTGGACAGGTGCTATATGAGGTTAATGTGGGTAATTTGATTTGGACCAGGCATTCCAATCAGCTGCGACCAACTAGCGTTCCTGCGGGCACAAGCATTCGGTTACTACCGTTAGATATTCTACTAGAGAGTTTCGACATGCCATCTAATCCCCAAAGCAATTCGGATGCATCCCGCACAGAAGTCTCAGAGGAACCGAAGGTCCAGACCCGGCGCTGTACTGATCGACTACGGAGACCTGACGTAAGAATGCAGTTGGATCCAAAAATGAAGCCTTATGTCAACTTTTGCGGGGGAAGGTGTTAATGGGACGGAACCAGCCAATGAGAGCGTTTTACGCTAAGGGTTATTGATTTGGCCATAAATTGAATGTACCGTTAGTTTGGACGTTAAGAAATATAGACTTGCCAGCCGTACGCCGGTCTCCTGCTTTGGGAAGTCGGGCTGATCAGAGTGCACACTAGCAGCAGGTTATCGGTAGGTCAGCCGAAACCATAACACCTTCTTATTATCAGCACCCAATAGCTGCCTTCAAAATCAAAGTAAACTACACTAACAGTCCCACTAAATTGCGCATTGAAATTAGCTCATCGGATAACAGCGAAACGAATAAAAAGTTAGGCTTAGGTGTTATAATTGACATCAGAGTGAAGAGAGGTAGATGTCTCTTAAGTGGTTTTAAATCCAACTTAAAAATAAACAATAATTATAAAAGCCCGTAAGTTCAGCTATCAAATGTTATCATACATGTTCAAATTCTAATGTACGTGCCGGGTCAAACCCTTGTAAAAATGTAAAAATATTGCTTAGTTAATGCAGTCGTTCACAGCTAAGGATGAAACAATCTATAAAGAATAGCATGAACATTAAGTGCACTAATCAAAGCTGATTTTTAATAGCATTTAAATCTTGCTTACCCGCTGCATCTTCTCCACTGTGTATAATATCCTTTCCGACGTCTGCAGCTTTACCTATGGTGAAGGTCAGATTGGGAATTTTGTTGTCAGAATCGGAAGTTATTTGATACATCTCTAAGCTTTAAATAAAACACGCTATTATATCCGTAAGGAAACAATTGATCAAGCGCCGCATCGGTGAATATGAGAAGAAGCAAATTACATTTTGCAGCGGGAGTTGTGAAACTCTACTGAACAGGGGCTTTTATATCTAGTGATTACATGCGTTTCTGCATACCAAAAATTTGCAACTTTAACACTGACAAGTTACTGCTAGTTGATCGCCTAAGACAGAGTTGATTAATGATGAAACTGGATAAATTATTTGGTTCGCCAACTCTTTGCAGGTTTGCCAAAATACGACGTATTTGGAATATATGATCTTTCCATCCTCTATCTAAATACAATGGATATAATAACCCTGGCTGCATATCGGGCACCGCGTACGTTTTCCCTGTATGCTGGATTTTACTTTTGCTTTGGAGCTATTAACTATCCGTGTTTCCAATCGGCGATTAACGAGTGAATGCCTGATCTTTGTTTAATTTCACCATATATGGGAATGTTAAGAATATTCCCTTACTAATTTTATACGCACACATAATAGACAAACCATCGAATGTGTCCGCCGTCTTGGATTTGTTTAACAGCAACCTAACCGAAATCAGCCACACCCACCGTCAGCGTTTGCATTCAGCATACAAGTGTGGACGTTGCGACGACCTTGTTCGCAGGTCTGGCAGTCAGATGGAGCCTACTGCTTGCCCAAGGCGACTTAAGTTCAAATCTTTCGAACTGAACGTTAGACTTGGCGTAGACAGCTGTGTGAAGCTCGTGCGCTTTGGAAGAGAATACCGAAGTTACAGAAAATACTTTCATGCTGGAGGTGCTCGCCATAGGTCCAGTCAGATAGAAATACTTGAGAGTACATACGATACCCTCTGGTTCAGCTGTACGCGTGGAGCCATGCCACTTGATAGACGTGAGGCTGTGTTGGCGCACATGTGTGATAGGCTGCCAAAGATGGTAGATCAAGCATCCGTACCTGCCGTACAACTAATTTATACGAACCCGTGCATTGAACTCGATACTCAGCCTCAAGCACAAATTCACGACTTTGCAAGAGTAACGATCTGGATATATCTAGCCAAACCCTGGAAGCTGCTCATACACATATATTAGCCACACATTCTTTAACCAACTCACAGAGCACACTGAGCAATGCTGCACGCCTGAAAACATTATCCTGCTTTAAGGCCCCCATATGACGGAGCACATCATATGGAAAGCGTGCCTGCTCCCACATCTCTTACTACTACCGATACGATAACGAAAATCAAGCCCAAATCATTTGTCCAACCAAAGAAATCAAGTATTGACCATGCAAGTGAGGAGAACAGGAAACATAACCATAATTCCTGGGCTGGTAAGTGCTCGACTGAGACCAGTTCCGAAGCGAATATTTTAAAAGGTATTCTACTATGCAATCTCACACTGTGGGACGCCATATGGCCGTTAATGGGGTTCAAGCTTTCCCAGTCAATAGGTTGCGCCTCGTCCGTCACACCAACCGTATATTACGGTAGACCGTAATTACTGCAGAAAACACAGCAATCAGGTAATGACGCAGTGGCAGATATCTTGTCAGTCACGCGCCTTCGCACAACTAGATGCATTGCTGAAGGTTTTCCAAATGCTTTTCGGAGTGAACAGCAGAAACATAAGCAAACTTAGAATGATTCCCGTAAGATATAGACACAAAATTTCTACCTGTTTACGGTGTTTTCGAGCTTGAGACATAGGGTACACTAGAGCCCAATGCAATTGACTAAAAGAAATGGCGACTTATTCTTGAAGTGCTTTCTTATGAAAAGTCTGATCGATTATCCAAAATCAATTTTACCGCTATCACATAACTGCTGAGCGTGTGAGCTGACCGATAAGCGTTTAACTGCTCATAACAATGATGGCAAGGTACATAATCAAAATGTGGCACAAATGGCATAAAATGCCGCCATTCGGAATACATGGAAAGGCGATGGGCACAAGGCCACAGGTAAGCAACGCCACACTTCTCAAGCAACTTACCAGTACCAGTCTGTCATCATGTAGCTTAGGACGGAGATAATGCCAAAACACACCGGCAGTTGAGGAAGGACCGATTGTCAACCCTGGCGTTGGCGCTGAGAGCTTTATAAAACAACCTGACCTGGCTCTAGACTCTACAGCATCGGTCCCACAAAATACTACAAGCAGCTGGTCCCACATGTTTCAGCATAAACCGACCCCAGGAACCGGTATGCACAACCACGCCTCTAAACAACGATGCTCTTACGTGATTGTATGCCAATGCGCAAGACCTTCTCAACATGATAGCCGAGCTTCGTGCTCGACAGGTCTTTACGAGTTGGAACCCGGTTATGATCACTGCAGCATACATGAACACAAAAAGCACGAATTTTGTGATCGCACAAGGGGATGGCTTCTCTACTATAAAATCAAACCAGGTGAAATGGGGAATTGCTCCTGTCGTATAAATCCGACCTGCATGCTGATCTGATTGAAGACTCGGAAAGGAAGGTAGTCGATCCGCTGTTCTGCCGGATGCATCTGAGATGTAGTGAGGTGTGTTTCCTAACATTAACTTTCGGCTCTCCCATGTCCATATTGTACTGGAGCAATCAGAAGCTTCTTTAATGAAACTATTACTCGGTTGGCTATTTAGCCAGGTGCTTCTGATGGGGGACAACAAACTCTACGCAATCAAAGTTCCTGCAACGCAGAGCAAAAGATCCAAGGATAATTTGCAAACGTTCAACGCCATCTGCGTCCATACAACTACGCCACCTCTCTCATGCGATTCCGAACGGCGGATACCCCATCATTTTAGACCTTGTGCTCTCCAAAAGTTAACTAATGCTCAACACCGAGACCACGGGCGCACTATTTTGCCCAAGCTACTACGCGACGTTGCTCCTCCGTTACATTTGTTATTCAGTGTACATCAGTGCGGACATCATGGTAAACTATGTCGTTACATATTACGATAGTCTCTACAAAGTCGTTCAAAACATTCGCTGGTCATACTTGGCAAAGAAGCTGCGCAACGTCGCCCGAATTTTGTTCATCACCCAATTCATTGAGTTAGGAGAAATGCGTCAGGTAGCAAGCCACTTCGTCTTGAGCATGTGGATTGTTTACTGAGGAGACGTAAACAAAACCGCATAATCATAAGGGCTTCAGTTTGGCCCGCTTAAAAATTTCGTCCTAGTAACTAGAATTACTTGCTTAAAATGTTCAAAGAAACAACTAAGGCGAGTTGATTCTCAACCACAAATTGCAGCATCACAGAGCTTAGTAAAGAACTTCTTACAGATCCCAACAGGCACAATAACCACAAAAAAAGGTCTCTGCAGAATGCAAGAAAATAATCCGGTTTCACTCGCAACAAAGGGGATAACGCAAATCGCAAAAGATGCAGCAGACGAGCTTCGCTGATTCTTCAGTTCTACTTGCCATAGTGAATCAGATATTGATCCGCTTTCGACAAAGATTCCTCGCCATCTGGTAAAATAAGCTATTTTTCAAGGCAGTCAATATGACGATAACGATAGTGTTATTGCGCGTGCACTGCTCACCGGGCGTGGATGACATCAAACAAATGGCTTTCTTGACAGCGGCCAAGAACCGTGCTAGCATATTAGCTAGGTTCTTCCAACGTTGTCTCAAAGAAACATAGGTTCGCACAATGTGAGCACGTGAAATATTCCCTCCAATTTATAAAGCGGTAATTGCTTGGATCCCTGGAATCACAGTCCTTTATGTTTCTTCCAAGTTTCATTCACATTAGTAGAACGTATATTTGCATGGTTGCACACGGGGTACCAAGAGAACAAAACCCTTTAGATAATACAGACACACGGATCCCAGCGGATTGCATCCTGCACTAGCAACTTGCTGCAGGCCAGAAAAAATTAAACAGAGACAGCCAATTCAAGTGCACGAGTCGAAGTTGTCTACTTTGATATCTCGAATGCGTACGCCTGTTTAAACCATTGCATTATCTCTCACAAGCTATAAAGCCAGCGAAACGGTATACCTACAATCGGTTGGACCGATAAATTCCTCGCTAAATGTAAGCTGAATCTGCGAAACCGCAGCTTCATCATTGACTCAAATGAAGTCCAGCTCAAAGGGCCCCAATTATCAGTGCTAGGGTCACGGTTATTTCTTAACTTTAATAACGAACTTGTCAGTGTATTACAGTCGAATTTACTACAATTTGCACAAGAGCTCGAAATTTCTTGTAATCTCAGGATATCGGGTGACCAAATGGCAATCCGCGTGCGTGCTCGTCCGATAACCGACTATATTTCAATGGTACCAATTGTAAAGTCGTAAGCATAAGCCATCAACTTATTTTGAATAACTACGTTGGAGCCAGCTGCTACAAAGTTCCTCACAAGAAACTGACCACGGTGTGATCGCGCAGGTCGTACACGATTGCTTGCGACCGGTCGAAATGGCATCCGAAATAGCCGGTAAAATTTCTGGACTCGTATGAGGGGACTCCGGCACTTGATATCCGTCAAATCTTTCGCAACTGCTGAGGCCACGCGTGGCATAAGCGATGGTGGCGTTGTGTCTCTAGCGCAGGTGCAACCTCGATGCACTTGAAGCTCCATGACGTGGAGTGACCAAACTCTTTAGAGGATCCGTTCATCACACCTGTCAGCACAGACTGCCGTCCCTGGGAATTTAAAGTTGTGAATGTCAACGTCAGCGAGGAGAACCATTCTCGGTTTACTTAATATAGCCGAGACCTACCCACACCTACCGCAATTTGTTGCAGCTGAGCCAAACTGATAAGCCATCATTTCAAGCAGGCTACGCACTACCATCGAAAAGCTAACCGACGAAACATTTTCTCCCTCTGTGAGTCCCGTGTCTGAAATATCCGTCCAAATTACGCTATTTATGCCCCTACGTTAATGCTTTTGAACTAACGCCTTTATAATACGCTTTCCAACTTGCATCACTTGATATGGTCCGTTCGACTTGAAGGAGGAAACAAAGCAAACCTAACCATTTGCTTAACTGCCATCGCTGAAACGTTGCCGTGACTGTACATGCAAAAGTGTCCATGTGAATAGCGTTGGCGTAAACAATATGGACAACAGTACCCCGTCTATCAAACGAAGCAACACACCAGTGCGCGCATTCGTTTCCTTTTTCATTTCGCACTCACTTGATATACTTTAACCGTTCCCTATATTATTTAATTTTACACATCATTCATACTTTAAATTTTTGTTATGCAGTAGTGCGCTAAACTCGGTGGATATTTGAACTGGGCGTTCATTTTCGTGATGGTCCTACAAACTTTCATTTTTACTCCATCCATCCAACGAGACTCTTCCAGCACGTGCGTTTTATTCGTGGTAAATATTTTCATTGTGAATTGTTCAATAACGGTTGTACAGCAACCTGTGAACATATGCCTTTAAGGTAACTTTCACATTATTCCCATTCAAAAGCATGTGAACAGTTGTTATTAAAACTAATTCAATTATCAGTACGAACACAAATCTGCGGTTGACTGCGTATGTGTAATTGCAGTTGCTATTTCATTGAAGTTGCAGCTTTGACGTAACAGTATATTTTGTAGACGGCTAAGTTTGCATGTATAACCAACAATTAGTTGACGTTAGGCGGATTGGAAATTAACAAGTGCTGGTCGGTGCATGCGCTGCAAATCTGCTTGTTTCCAATCCGAATTAAAATTATTTATTATAAGGTGTGATTTTATATTACGTTTCAACATTTTCTACTAATTTTCGTCGATTTACTGTTGTCGATTTCGGCACTATTGTACCTTCATACTTTATTACTATCCGTACGCAGCAAAGCACTTAAGAAGCGAAAATTGAAATGCTGACAGTTGCATCAAATGGTACAGTAACTCAAGATAATCGAATAACGGATATTTGCATGCACACTTTGGGCAAACTTGCTCCACATGACATCACTATATATGGAGGTGGATGTGCTTTCAATTGGTGTTTATGCTAAATTATACCATAATCCTTATCTGTGCACGTCGTTTGCTTCTGGTTTCAATTGTTATCATAAACATTCACCTTTTAATTTACCTGTCACCCAAGAGGCTATTACTAGTGTTGGAACGTTGCTTACATTCTGACGTCTTCTGCTTTTACAGCTGCGCAATCTCAGGGGAGATAATAGCATGAGCATGAAGTGCACCAATCCAAGCTGATTTTTAATAGCATTTAAATCTTGCTTACCTGCTGCATCTTCTCCACTGTGTATAATATCCTTTCCAATGTCTGCAGCTTTACCTATGGTGAAGGTCAGGTTGGGATTTTCGATGTCACAATCGGACATTATTTGATACATAACGAGGCCTGCATAAAATGTACTACTGCATTTCACTTTGTGCTATGTTTCCGAGCTCGAACGATTTTACAAAGGTTCCTTTTCGCAAAATTTCTGTGTATTTTAGGTTGAATTACTAATCACATTCTCTCAATAATCAGATACGTTAATGTGTCTTCTTTTTGTGTGGCGGTTGATATATTCTTTTAAGAGTAGTATGTTAGCTTTTATAAGCATTTGCTTGCGCTGGTCACTACCGAAATCTGTTAGCTTTTAAATAAAACACGCTATTGTACCGCTAAGGAAACAATTGAGTATGCGCATTGTCAGGGAATATAAGAACGAACAAATTATATTTTGAAGCAGGAGTTTTGAAACTCGTTAGAACAGGGATTTTTATACCTAACAGATCTATGCGTTTCTGCGTAGCAGTACGTTTTCCTCCTTAGCGCTGACAAGATACTGCTAGCTGACCACCTATGGCAGATTTGAATGATGCTGAAATTGGATGCATTAATTGATTTGCCAACTATTTGCAGGTTTGCCAAATATTATATTTTTGAAGAAAATGAGCTATCCTACATCTGTACAAGTGCAATGGACACAGCAATGCTGGCTGCATATCGGGCGCCGCAAATATTTGTTTACATACTGTAATTTACTTTTGCTTTGGAGCTATTAAATATCCCTTTGGCCGTTTGCCAATAATGTGCGAATGCATTTCTTGTGGTTCATTTCACCATATATGCGAAGTTTATGGGTAGTCTCTGGCTACGTACATGGTTCACACGTAGTAGCCTAACCTTCGTCTGTGTCCGCCGTGTTAGATTTTTTTAATAGCAACCTAACCAAAGTCAGCCACACCAACCGTCAGCGTTTGGATTTAGCTTACACGGGTGGACGTGGCGACGACTATGTTCGCAGGTCTGGCAGTCAGTTTGCACCTATTGCTTGCCCACAGAGACATAAGCTCAAAGCTTCCGAACTATACGTTATACACGGCGTGGAGAGCTGTGTGAAGCTTGTGCGTATTGAAAGATTATACCGCCGTTACAGAAAATACTTTCATGCTGAAGATGCTCGCCATAAACAGACTCAGATAGAAATATTGATGGTCAGAACGATACCTTCTGGTTCCTCACTGAGTGTAACTCCATGCCACCGGATATATGTGTAGCACCGTTGGCACTCTTTGTGTTGCAATAGATGTTAGATCAAGCCACAGTACTTGCCGTCCTACCTACTTTATACGAAACCGGGCCCCAAAGACGATACTCAACCTCAAGCACTAGTAACTTAAAGTACGTGTTTAAAAAACTCACGGAAACATCTAAGACAATTTCATTCTCAACCACAAACTGCAGCATCACAGAGCTTAGTGAAGAACTTCCTACAGGTCCAAACTGGCTCAAGAAACACACAAATGGGCTCCGCAGTTTGCAGTGCGACAACCGGTTTCACATGCAACAGAAGGTAGCATGCAAACCGCACAAGATGCAGCAGACGTGCTTCGCTGATTCTTCAGTTCTACTTGCCATAGTGAATCAGATATTGATCCGCTTTCGACAAAGATTCCTCGCCATCTGGTAAAATAAGCTATTTTTCAAGGCAGTCAATATGACGATAACGATAGTGTTATTGCGCGTGCACTGCTCACCGGGCGTGGATGACATCAAACAAATGGCTTTCTTGACAGCGGCCAAGAACCGTGCTAGCATATTAGCTAGGTTCTTCCAACGTTGTCTCAAAGAAACATAGGTTCGCACAATGTGAGCACGTGAAATATTCCCTCCAATTTATAAAGCGGTAATTGCTTGGATCCCTGGAATCACAGTCCTTTATGTTTCTTCCAAGTTTCATTCACATAGGTAGAACGTATATTTGCATGGTTGCACACGGGGTACCATAAGAACAAAACCCTTTTGATAATACAGACACACGGATCCCAGCGGATTGCATCCTGCACTAGCAACTTGCTGCAGGCCAGAAAAAATTAAACAGAGACAGCCAATTCAAGTGCACGAGTCGAAGTTGTCTACTTTGATATCTCGAATGCGTACGCCTGTTTAAACCATTGCATTATCTCTCACAAGCTATAAAGCCAGAGAAACGGTATACCTACAATCGGTTGGACCGATAAATTCCTCGCTATATGTATGCTGAATCTGCGAAACCGCAGCTTCATCATTGACTCAAATTAAGTCCAACTCATAGGGCGCCAATTTTCAGTGGGTTAATGGGACGGAACCAGCCAATGAGAGCGTTTTACGCTGAGGGCTATTGATTTGGCCATAAATTGAATGTACTGTTAGTTCGGACGTTAAGAAATATAGGCTTGCCAGCCGTAGGCCGGTCTCCTGCTTTGAAAAGTCGGGCTGATCAGAGTGCACGCTAGCAGCAGGTCATCGGTAAGTCAGCCGATACCATAACGCATAATTTTGGCGACGGAAGGTAGTGGATCAAGATGTCAATTTCAGCGGAAGACCTGAAAATCATTTTGTTGCAGCAACAGCAGCAATTTGAAACAGCACAGCTGCGTATGATTGAAACCCTCACCCAAATGTTATCTGTGCAGCCTACGGTCGTTCAGAACAATGGGAAGCCTTCGGCTGATGCGATGATCAGTAGTGTTAATGAGTTCATATTCGATCCTGACTCAGGATTAATATTGGATGCGTGATTCAGGCGCTATGAAGCTGTTTTCAGGGCAGAGTTGTCAGGTCTCGATGATGCATCTAAAGTTCGCCTTTTGTTACGTAAACTCGGAACGCTTGAACATGACAGATACATTAACTACATTTTGCCAAACAACGCGCATGATTTCAGCTTTGATGATACAGTTGCTCGACTCACAGCGTTGTTTGGAGACCAGTCGTCTCTTTTCAATAGCCGGTACAATTTTCTAAATCTATGCAAAAAGGACAATGACAGTCTTATTGCTCACGCGGCGATAGTCAAACGTGAATGCCAGAAATTCAAACTGAAGTCGCTCGCGGAAGACCAGTTCGAGTGTTTGCTACTAGTATGCAGTCTACAGTCCCCAAAAGACGCCGAGATACGCACGAGAATACTTGGTATGTTGGAACGCGACACAGATGTTACATTACAAAGCGCCATTGCTGAAGCCCAAAGAATCATGAATTTAACGCACGATACGGCTATGGTGGAAGATTCGAGAGCACATTCCGCAGATATATCTGTCCAGCAAATTTCAGGAAACAACCCACCGACCGCTCAACCTAGCAGATATCCACAATCCATACCCCCATCACCTTGCTAGCCATGCGAAGGATGGCATTTTGTGAGATGGTGTCCTTTCAGCAAACATGTTTGTCAAAGGTGCTTTAGACGGGGGCACAAGGAGACCCACTGCAGATTCAAAACGTCATTTAGATCGTCATGTGATACTCAAAAAGCAGGTTACCGAAGGTTCGCGACAAGACTAAACGCTAACTATACGGACGATGTTAAAGATAGAAGAAAGTCCGTCACTATTATTATCAACGGAAGAGTAGCGCGTCTGCAGATTGATACGGCTTCCGATATTACAGTCATTACGGAAAACTTATGGAAAGCTATCGGTTCACCTGACATTAAACCAACTAACCATAAAGCGAAGAGCGCATCAGGTACGATTCTAAACTTGATCGGTCAGATTGAATGTGAGTGTCGCTTTGCCAACTTCACCGCTTGGGGAACTATTTTCGTCACAACACACAAGAATTTGAACCTCCTTGGATTAGACTGGATTGAGCGATTCAACCTCTTAGATGTTCCCATTAATCAAATCTGTGCAAGTGTACACTTACGCGAACCAAAAGTCCTCAAGGCAATGGCAATCGAACAAGTTCGAGTGAAATATGCACCTGTTTTCCGTGAAGGACTTGGTAAGTGTACAAAGTGGCAAGCTTCATTGTCCTTAAAACCCGGTACTGTTCCTGTTTTCCGTGCAAAGCGGCCAGTACCTTACGCAGCATTCCCAATTGTTGACCAGGAACTTGATCGTTTGGAGAAACTTGGGGTTATCTATGCAGTGAACTACGCTTCTTGGGCGGCTCCAATTGTGGTTGTCAAGAAGCCGAACGGCCAGATCCGAATATGTGCCGACTTTTCTACTGGGTTGAATGAAGCGTTAAACACGCATCAGTATCCTCTGCCAGTCCCAGATGATTTGTTCTCGAAACTAAATAAGGGTCAGTGTTTTGCCAAGCTAGATCTATCTGATGCGTACTTAAAAATAGACCTTGATGAAGCTTCTAGAGAATTACTGACGATAAATACGCACCGAGGTTTGTATCAGTATCATCGACTTCCATTCGGAGTTAAGTCCGCGCCAGCAATTTTTCAGCAAATCATGGATACTATGCCAACAGATGTAGATGGTGCTGCCGCATATTTGGACGATATCATTGTCGTCGGAACTAACCCAGATGACCTTTTTAGAAAGCTGCACTTAGTACTTGATCGTATACAAGAGTACGGATTTAGACTTTGCCCAGAAAAGTGCACGTTTTTCATGGACTCCATTAGTTTTCTTGGCTTCATAATTGACAAGAACGGTAGACGTCCAGATCCGTCAAACATTGATGCTATAAAAAATATGCCACTTCCAAAAGATGTGCCTACTCTGAGGTTCTTCTTAGGACTCGTCAGTCATTACAGTCAATTTCTGCCACATATGCACAGCGTGCATGGACCACTCAATGAGTTACTCACCAAGGACCAACTTTGGCGCTGGTCCGAAGATTGTCAGAAGTCCTTTGAGGAGGTGAAGCGAATGCTGTGTGCTGACCTTATGCTGACACATTACGACCCTACACTTGAAGTCGTGGTGGCGGCAGACGCTTCGAAATATGGCGTGGGTGCAGTTATCTCTCAGAAGTTTGCTGACGGATCGGAAAAAGCGATCGCACACGCAGCTTGATCACTGTCGCCAGCCGAAAAGAATTACGGGCAGATAGAGAAAGAGGCATTAGCGATAGTCTTTGCAATAAAGAAATTTCACAAAACGTTGTATGGCAGGAGGTTTACCTTGCTTACCGACCATAAACCACTCCTAGCCATATTTGGATCAAAGTCCGGTATACCCGTTTATAACGCGAACAGATTGCAGCGTTGGGCCACGGCACTACTCGCCTATGATTTTGCGGTGAAATACACGGCTACAAAGGACACAGGTCAAGCAGACGCACTTTCCCGGTTATTGGAGCTACAACCGCATCAGCAGGAAGAATCTATAATTGCAGCAATCTCCCTTGAATCAGAGGTCAACCAGGTCTTGATGGAGAATTTTAGGAAGCTTTCCGTGACGTTCGACATGGTACGTGACGCAGCTGTGCGAGATCCCCTCTTGCGCCAGGTAACCAAATTTCACACTACGCAGTGGCCAAGTGATACTCTATCCGGAGAGCTACAAATTCTCTCTCGGAGAAAGGACGAACTTTCGATCGTAAATGGGTGTTTACTTTTGGCAGAGAGAATTGTCATACCCAAAGAACTTCGCCAAAGAGTCCTTCAGCAATTTCGTCGGGCACATCCTGGAATTAACAGAATGAAAAGCATTGCTCGGAGTTTTGTCTACTGGCCAAACATTGATTCGGAACTCGAGCAACTAGTAAAGTCATGTCCCAGATGCGCGCTTGCTAGTAAGGCACCGAGTAAAGCTGGCTTACCTTCCTGGCCGTTAACAACAAAACCGTGGGAACGCAGGCACGCTGATATCTTTGGTCCCCTAAACGGTCAGCAGTACCTAATAGTTGTTGATTCCTATAGTAAATGGCCTGTGGTCTTCTGTATGGAGCGTGCGACAAGTGGTGCAACAATTAACCTTTTGAGGAGACTTTTCAGTCAACACGGAATACCAGAAACCTTGGTCACTGACAATGGTTCTCAGTTCACTTCTTCCCAATTTGCCGAATACTGCGCACAGCATGGTATCACGCATCTACGGTCGCCACCGTTTCACCCTCAGTCAAATGGACAAGCAGAGCGCTTCGTCGACACTTTTAAGCGATCGCTACTAAAGATGCGGGGGGAAGGAACCACACAGGAAATACTTGATACATTTTTGCTCGTGTACAGATCAACTTCAAATCCCCAAGTACCAAACTAGTTGTCGCCGGCAGAAGCACTAATGGGAAGAAAACTTCGTATAGTGATTTCCCTGCTAACTCCGAGGTGTACTAATGAGCAAGAAAGGACGTTTTGATGGAGCAGTACTACAACGAGCGACACAGAACTCAAGCACGCCGCTTTTACCCTGGACAGCGTGTCTTAGTAAGAGACTATCGCGCGGGAAACCCGCAATGGGTGGTAGGATCGATACGGAGAAATATTGGACAGGTGCTATATGAGGTTAATGTGGGTAATTTGATTTGGACCAGGCATTCCAATCAGCTGCGACCAACTAGCATCCCTGCGGGCACAAGCGCTCGGTTACTACCGTTAGATATTCTACTAGAGAGTTTCGACATGCCATCTAATCCCCAAAGCAATTCGGATGCATCCCGCACAGAAGTCTCAGAGGAACCGAAGGTCCAGACCCGGCGCTGTACTGATCGACTACGGAGACCTGTCGTAAGAATGCAGTTGGATCCAAAAAATGAAGTCTAATGTCAAATTTGCGGAGGAAGGTATTAATGGGACGGAACCAGCCAATGAGAGCGTTTTACGCTGAGAGTTATTGATTTGGCCATAAATTGAATTTACCGTTAGTATGGACGTTCAGAAATATAGACTTGCCAGCCGTACGCCGGTCTCCTGCTTTGGGAAGTCGGGCTGATAAGATTGCACGCTAGCAGCAGGTCATCGGTAGGTCAGCCGAAACCATAACACAGTGCTAGGTTCACGGTTATTTCTTAACTTTAATAACGAACTTGTCAGTGTATTACAGTCAAATTTACTACAATTTGCACATGAGTTCCAATTTTCTCGTAATTTTAGGATATCGGGTGACCAAATGGCAATCCGCGTGCGTGCTCGTCCGATAACCGACTTTATTTCAATGGTACCAATTGTAAAGTCGTAAGCATAAGCCATCAACTTATTTTGAATAACTACGTTGGAGCCAGCTGCTACAAAGTTCCTCACAAGAAACTGACCTCGGTGTGATCGCGCAGGTCGTACACGTTTGCTTGCGACCGGTCGAAATGGCATCCGAAATAGCCGGTAAATTTTCTGGACTCGTATGTGGGGACTCCGGCAATTGATATCCGTCAAATCTTTCGCAACTGCTGAGTCCACGCGTGGCATAAGCGATGGTGGCGTTGTGTCCCTAGCGCAGGTGCAACCTCGATGCACTTGAAGCTCCATGACGTGGAGTGACCAAACTCGTTAGAGGATCCGTTCATCACACCTGTCAGCACAGACTGCCGTCCCTGGGAATTTAAAGTTGTGAATGTCAACGTCAGCGAGGAGAACCATTCTCGGTTTACTTAATATAGCCGAGGCCTACCCACACCTACCGCAATTTGTTGCAGCTGAGCCAATCTGATAAGCCATCATTTCAAGCAGGCTACGCACTACCATCGAAAAGCTAACCGACGAAACATTTTCTCCCTCTGTGAGTCCCGTGTCTGAAATATCCGTCCAAATTACGCTATTTATGCCCCTACGTTAATGCTTTTGAACTAACGCCTTTATAATACGCTTTCCAACTTGCATCACTTGATATGGTCCGTTCCACTTGAAGGAGGAAACAAAGCAAACCTAACCATTTGCTTAACTGCCATCGCTGAAACGTTGCCGTGACTGTACATGCAAAAGTGTCCATGTGAATAGCGTTGGCGTAAACAATATGGACAACAGTACCCCGTCTATCAAACGAAGCAACACACCAGTGCGCGCATTCGTTTCCTTTTTCATTTCGCACTCACTTGATATACTTTAACCGTTCCCTATATTATTTAATTTTACACATCATTCATACTTTAAATTTTTGTTATGCAGTAGTGCGCTAAACTCGGTGGATATTTGAACTGGGCGTTCATTTTCGTGATGGTCCTACAAATTTTCATTTTTACTCCATCCATCCAACGAGACTCTTCCAGCACGTGCGTTTTATTCGTGGTAAATATTTTCATTGTGAGTTGTTCAATAACGGTTGTAAAGCAACCTGTGAACATATGCCTTTAAGGTAACTTTCACATTATTCCCATTCAAAAGCATGTGAACAGTTGTTATTAAAACTAATTCAATTATCAGTACGAACACAAATCTGCGGTTGACTGCGTATGTGTAATTGCAGTTGCTATTTCATTGAAGTTGCAGCTTTGACGTAACAGTATATTTTGTAGACGGCTAAGTTTGCATGTATAACCAACAATTAGTTGACGTTAGGCGGATTGGAAATTAACAAGTGCTGGTCGGTGCATGCGCTGCAAATCTGCTTGTTTCCAATCCGAATTAAAATTATTTATTATAAGGTGTGATTTTATATTACGTTTCAACATTTTCTACTAATTTTCGTCGATTTACTGTTGTCGATTTCGGCACTATTGTACCTTCATACTTTATTACTATCCGTACGCAGCAAAGCACTTAAGAAGCGAAAATTGAAATGCTGACAGTTGCATCAAATGGTACAGTAACTCAAGATAATCGAATAACGGATATTTGCATGCACACTTTGGGCAAACTTGCTCCACATGACATCACTATATATGGAGGTGGATGTGCTTTCAATTGGTGTTTATGCTAAATTATACCATAATCCTTATCTGTGAACGTCGTTTGCTTCTGGTTTTAATTGTTATCATAGACATTCACCTTTTAATTTACCTGTCACCTAAGAGGCTATTACTAGTGTTGGAACGTTGCTTACATTCTGACGTCTTCCGCTTCTACGGCTGCGCAATCTCAGGGGAGATAATAGCATGAGCATGAAGTGCACTAATCCAAGCTGATTTTTAATAGCATTTAAATCTTGCTTACCTGCTGCATCTTCTCCACTGTGTATAATATCCTTTCCAATGTCTGCAGCTTTACCTATGGTGAAGGTCAGGTTGGGATTTTCGATGTCACAATCGGACATTATTTGATACATAACGAGGCCTGCATAAAATGTACTACTGCATTTCACTTTGTGCTATGTTTCCGAGCTCGAACGATTTTACAAAGGCTCCTTTTCGCAAAATTTCTGTGTATTTTAGGTTGAATTACTAATCACATTCTCTCAATAATCAGATACGTTAATGTGTCTTCTTTTTGTGTGGCGTTTGATATATTCTTTTAAGAGTAGTATGTTAGCTTTTATAAGCATTTGCTTGCGCTGGTCACTACCGAAATCTGTTAGCTTTTAAATAAAACACGCTATTGTACCGCTAAGGAAACAATTGAGTATGCGCATTGTCAGGGAATATAAGAACGAACAAATTATATTTTGAAGCAGGAGTTTTGAAACTCGTTAGAACAGGGTTTTTTATACCTAACAGATCTATGCGTTTCTGCGTAGCAGTACGTTTTCCTCCTTAGCGCTGACAAGATACTGCTAGCTGACCACCTATGGCAGATTTGAATGATGCTGAAATTGGATGCATTAATTGATTTGCCAACTATTTGCAGGTTTGCCAAATATTATATTTTTGAAGAAAATGAGCTATCCTACATCTGTACAAGTGCAATGGACACAACAATGCTGGCTGCATATCGGGCGCCGCAAATATTTGTTTACATACTGTAGTTTGCTTTTGCTTTGGAGCTATTAAATATCCCTTTGGCCGTTTGCCAAAAATGTGCGAATGCATTTCTTGTGGTTCATTTCACCATATATGCAAATTTTGTGGATATTCTCTGGCTACGTATACGGTCACACGTAGTAGCCTAACCTTCGTCTGTGTCCGCCGTTTTGAATTTGTTCAACAGCAAACTAACCGAAGTCAGCCACACCAACCGTCAGCGTTTGGATTTAGCTTACACGGGTGGACGTGGCGACGACTATGTTCGCAGGTCTGGCAGTCAGTTTGCACCTATTGCTTGCTTACGTATACCTAAGCTTAATGCTTCCAAACTGAACGTTATACGCGGCCTAGACATCTGTGTGAAGCTTGTGCGATTTGGAACAGAATAGTAAAAATACAAAGTAAAATATTTTCATCCTGGAGGTGCACGCCGTTGGCTCAGGCAGATATAAATACTTGATAGTACGTACGATTCTCATTTGCTCTGCACTGAGCGTAAGCTTATGCTACTTGATAGAAGTGTGGCTGTGTTGGCGCACATGTGTGTTAGGCGGCCATAAGATGGTAGATTTAGCATTCGTACTTGCCGTCTTACCTAATTTTACGAACCCGTGCATTAAACACGATTTTCAAACTGAAGCACCAATTCAGGTCTTTGTAAGAGTAACGAACTGGATAAAGGTAGTCAAACCCTGGTCGCTGCACATAAGAATAATCTGGCCACACATTCTTTAACTAAATCACCGGGCCCACTGAACACTGCTGAATGCCAGACAACATACGCTTCACTTATTTCTCCCAAGGGAAGTAACACGTCCCATCGCAAACTTGTCCGATTCAAACTCGGTTAATACTACCGCTATGAACACGAAAATCAAGACAAAATCAGTTGTCCAACCGAAGAAGCAACAATTGGCCATGCAAGAAACAAGAACAGGAAACATAACGGTAATCATTGTAATGTTAAGTGTTCGACTGAGAATAATTCCTAAAAAACATTTATCAAAATTCATTATATTATATACCTGACACTGCGGTTCGCCGTGTTGCAGCAATTGGGTTTAAGATTTACCAGTCAATAGGTTGCGCCTTGTCCGTAACACCAACCGTATACTACAGTTAACCGCAATTGCTGCAGATAACACATCAGTCAGGTAATGACGCAGTGGCCGCTCTCTCGTCATTCACTCGGCAAACTACCATCAGATGCATTGTTGGACGTTTTCCAGATGTTCTTCGGTGTGAACACCAGAAATCTAAACAAAAGCTGAATGATGCCCATAAACAAATAGACGCAAAATTTATGCCTGTTCACGGTGTCCCCTAGCTCCGGACATAAGGTCAGCTAGACGCCAACGCACCCGACGGAGAGGAATGGAGTTTTACTCTCGAGGTGTTATCTTATGCAAAATGTTATCGCTTATCCAAACTCAAGCTTACCGATTTCACATAATTTTATAGGGTGTAGTCCGGTGGAAAAGCGTTTAATTGCACTCCACACTGATGGCAGGATACGTGCTCATAATGTGACACAAAAGGCATAACATGCTGCCCTTCAAAACACTTGGAAAGGCGATAGGCAACAGGCCACAAAAAACAACGTCACACTGTGCAAGCAAATTACCAATACAAGTCTGTCATCATGTAGCTTAGGACGGAGCTAATGCCAGAACACACTGACAGCTGAGGAAGTACCGAGTGCCAACGATCTTGTTGGCGCAGAGAGCTGTATACAAAAACCTGAACTGGCCGTAGGCTCTGCAGCATTGGTCCCAAAAAATGCTGCAGATAGCTGACCCCACATGGGTCGGCATAAACCGACACCAGAAACCGGGATACACAACCACGCTTCAAAACTTCGAGGCTCCTACGTACTTGCAGGACAATGCACATGGCTTCCTCAACATGATAGTGGAGCTCCGTACTCGACAATTCTTCACGGGTTGGAACCCGGTTATAATCACTGCAACATATATGAACACCGAGGACACGAATTTTGTGTTTACACAAGGTGAGAGGCGCTGGTACTATACAGTCGAAATAGGAGAAAAGGGGAATTGCTACTGTCGTACAAATCTGATCTGCATGTTGTTCGGATTAAAGGCTTAAGAGTAGGGCAGTCAATTTTATTTTCTGTAAGATGCCTCTAAGATGTAGTGAGGTGTGTTTCCTAGCATTAGCTTCCCGCTCTCTCTTGTTCAAATTGAAATCGAGCAATTATTAGCTGCTGTAATTAATCAATTCCTTACAGGACCATGCATGCCCATCCCACTGGTGGAGAACAACCCCTAAGCAATCAAGTACCAGCACCGCACAGCAAAAGATTCAAGGAAAATTTACAAATGTGATCACAATCCACCTCTATACAACAACGCCACCTCTCTCATGCGATTTCGAATGGCGGACACCACATCACTTTAGGCCTTGTGTTCTCCAACAACTAATTTGTGGTCAACACCGAGAACATGGGCGCAATACTTGGCCCAAGCTATTACACGACGCCGCTCTTCCGTTACATTCGTTACTTGCTGTATATCAGTAAGAACATTCTGGTAACCCATGTCGTTACATATTACGATAGTCTCCAAAGTCGTTTAAAAACTTCGCTGGTCCTACTTGGCAGCGTTGCAGCCCACCATCGCCCGGACGTTGTTCGTCACCCAGTTCAATCAGGTAGAGGAAAATGCATCAGCATTCAAGACACTTCGTCTAAAGCACGTGGATTGGTTCCTGAGGAGACGTATCAGAAACCGCTTGACCTATTATTATTCAATTTGGCCCGCTTACAAAGTCCGTCCTAGTAACTTGACTTACGTGCTTAAAATCTCAACCAAACAACTGAGGCAAGTTGTTTCTCAACCACAAACTCCAGCATCAACAGAGCTCAGCGACGAATTTCTGTTGAAATCCTACGTGGCTGTATAGACACGCCAAATAGCTCCGCAGTGTGCAGTGCGGGATCCCAGTTTCACCTACAACAGATAGTGAAGTGCAAACCGCGCGGGATGCGGCCAACTTGCCTCGCCAATCCTTCATTCTACTTGCTTGTGTGAATCAGACATTCATCCGCTTTTTTCACAGATTTCTGGCCACTAGGAAAAGCAACCTATTGTTTAAGGCAGTCAAAATGACAGTAACGATAATAGCATTGAGCGTGCACTGCTTAAAGTGCGTGGTAGACATCAAACCAATGGCTTTGCTGACAGGGGCCAGGAACCTTGCTGGAATATTTGCTAGGTTCTTCCAACGTTGTCTCGAAGATAAACAGGTTCGCACCATGTGAACATGTGAAATATTCCCTTTAAATTTTATAATGTTAATTCTCTAGAACAAAACAGCATCTAGTAAGCAATTACTTTCAATGATTCATCATCAGTCCATTACAATCATATAGAGGCTAAAATGAGAAACCTACCCTGTTACCTCAAAATGACTTGACCATGTGAAGGTCTATGTTAAAGTAAACAAAACTTATTAGGTCTTAGATGACTAGCTTTTTGCTTCAGCTTTTGACCGAATGCAGTCTACCTGGGCGTATTCCATCTTCGCTGGCCATGGAAGCTGGAGAGCCTGGACCAGCTTCTTCTGTAAGCATAAGGACGGCTGGAACAATCGAATGCATATTGCTTCAGCTGGCACAAGCGTGCAAAGGCGGTATTCTTTCGTTCGGTGCGGTGGAACCTTGTTAACTTTTCGAAAAGCGCTTTGCCAATCCACCTCATGTCCGGTGTCCACAAGGTAGGCCATAATGGCGAGGAAAGCAGACCGCATATTGCTCGAAAAGGCTCAGCGGCTGTTTACCAAAATAGTAGCCCCACAAGGCCTAGAGCTTAGTTACCTACAGAGGTGTAACCATCTCTCACTTTAGCCTCTATGGCTGCGGCGCATGATCTTAAACCTGCGCTTCTTACATAATTTAATATACCAAACGGTGCACAGTGATATCCCCAGCCTGACACTGAGAAGAGGATCAGAATTAAACTTCCGCAACTAGCACTGCACAGTTGCTCCGCTGCCAGCGAGGAAGAAACTACGTTCACGTTTCTTCCTTGTCACTTATGTAAATAGCCGGAACAAATTACCTTCACAGCTGCGGGAGATTCACAATCCACAGGCTTTCAAGCAGAAGGCACGAATTTTATGCGCCTGGATAACATAAGACGCCTTTTCAACATCTGTGATTCTGATGAAAACCATTTTGAGACCGGCCCCGATGGGGCATAGATCACATTTTGGTCAGCTCTGGCGCAACTTTGTATAGCGCTCAACTGGGCTTCATGACAGGAGTACCTTGGGCTCACAGGTCCT